AACGTCTCTGCTTAGTGTATATTTCTTATGGCCAACGGTTGAGTGTGAACAACAGCGATGACATACACATACACAAGAATATTCTCTCTCTCTCAACTCGTTAAATGATCAATCAACCTTAAATGATCAATCCACGCCCCAAAACAACTATTCTCTCTCTCTCTCTCTCTCTCTCTCACTCTCTCTCTCTCTCATGTGTTTTGTTTTGTTTTCATTCTAAAGAAAAAATGTTCGATAAGAAAAGAATGTGACACACACACATACACACACACACACCTCTCTCTCGCTCACGCTCTTTCTCTTTGTGAGCGACAACGACAGCAGCAGCAGCAGCAGCAGCAACAGTATCAACGGCATTGAACCCGATCATCGATGCAAATTAAATTGAATTTATCTTTCATTTTCTTATGATACTTTTTTTTCCACAACCACAATAGCAACAATCAATATGGACAAATTCTCCAATATTCAACTTTGTGTTCTAAGTCCTTTTCTTATCGGATTCTACTGTGTACGCAAAATACATACATATTGCTCGCTATCACATGGAGCACTAAATAGCTTTACGCAGTCATTTTAAAGCAATCTACAATATACGAATACGAATGGAGTGTCAACAATGCCATCTAGCGAATTTATTTCAAAATGCCAAAGCTTCTCGGAGTAGAATCGCACGGTATTAATTTCGAAAATGAATCGGATTTTATTTGCTATTTTCAATAAAAAAAATTAATCAACAAAATTTAGTATTATTTCATTGTTGATTTTTTCCTTTAGATTAATCAACCGTTTTGTCTAGATGTTTGCAACGGTTCATCATATACTCATTAAAAAACAGTCGAAAATTACGAGAAAAAAATTGACAACAACTTCATGTATGACCGATGTTCTGAAATGTCAAACTGAATTATTTTGCGCGTAAATAATGTTTGACAGCTATCGGAATATAACGTTCCGTCAATATTGTTCGATCCTTAGCTCCAACACAAATCATCCAAAAAGAGTTTATTTTTATCGCTGAAATATAGAAGAGAAAAAAATGTTAACAACAATATTACGCCGAATTCCACAAGTTGCTTCAATTCAACGGTAAGAGAATTTATAAATTTGAACATTGCAATTGGAGTGAGAGGTAGAAATAGAAATAAAAAAGAATGTGATTCAATCAATTTTTTGACATTTTATTGTAATATTTTAGAATTGCTGTTTCTGTTGCTGGCTATTCCCAAGAAAACTACAATCGATCAGTTGATAATAACAAAAATTGTAAATACACAAAACCAAACAGTGTCGACAATTATATGACGAATTCTGTGAATGTAAGTTATTGAAGTACACTACTCACACTGAATGTAATGTCTTGAGGAAAAAGATTTAGAATGGTCTTTTTTTCTGTAAACGAGATAAACCAACTTTTCATTTTTTACACGATTATTTTAGAGTTCGTTGTCAAGTGGGAGAAACGATGGACCGATTTTGTATCATGATGAAGCGTTGTCAGCCGATCAGCATGACATGGTTTTAACAGACATAAATCGAAAAGATCTCGCTGATGAAAGTTAGTTTTTTCTCTGCGTTTTTCGTTTTTGTAATGTTTTTGTTTTTAGATTGGCAATCGTCACGGAAATCCAAATTTGAGCAAAGGGGGGTTTAGTGCGTCACCGTTTCCGGTTGATGGCATAATTTTCGGTGAAAATAATCGGTTGATGATCTGTCTAAACTGTCAGCGTGTCGAAAAGCCGACTGCACCGATTGTCAAGGTCTGGTTCCTCGTTGACACTGGTTCCAATTGCACTTTTCTCTGCAAAGATACATTAAATGAGATGTATGGTGCAACCGTAGTGCTACCAATTATTTTGTTGCAATACAGGTATATGTTGTTGCATGTCTTGCTTTCTTTAGATTATTAGTTAAATTTCTATCAGTTATTTTATATTCTCAGGATTCCAAGTCTGAAATCAAATGCAACATTTCGCACAGTCACTTCGCAGACGTGAACGTTTTGGGTATGGAAGCTATGCGTCGTCTGGAAGTGTCTATCGAAAGTATGAACTTCAAACAATTTTATCTTTTTCGTATTGTAACACATTCGATTAAAACATTATTGCTTCAAAAATGAGAAATGAATGATATAGCGTTTGAAATGAAGTACATACACTTTAAAATTGCACTTTTTTCATTTGAATTGATTTCTGAATTTTTATTTGCAAGAATGTATCTCTAGTACAAAGAATGTGCGCATCGCATTTTAACTGACTCATTTTCCAGCACTTAAACTATTATTATAAAGCATCGACACGAACGGCAGTAATCTTATTCAGAAAAAAGAAACAGAAATCACCAACCATAATAACAATAGAGAAATAACAACCACAAAGTAATAGGCAAAGCAATTGTATCAATAGAATAAAAAACGAATCAATTTATATTGTGTAAATTTCGTCGTGATCGTCGTCGAATTTTGTATTAGTCGGTGTATCTTATTCACAAACATTAACTGGTTTTAAATTTTCTTTCTTACTATCTACGCAGTTTTCGTATAAGTTTGTGAGTTCATGAATTTATTGGACTTTACTTGATTTTGCTAATATTGCAATTAACTGAAAAATATGTTTGCTGATACCTTGGATTAAATGTTATTGAACTTTCTATATCTAACTGAAATTACTTTGTGTTGCACATTTTTCGAAGTTGTACTTTGAACGTTACTGAGCGTGAGCGAGAGAGAGGTGTGTGTGTGTGTTTATGTACATACTGTCAGCAGTTTGTGAATTAGATACACCGACTAATACAAAATTCGATGACGATCACGACCCGGAAATACATAGACTGAAAAAACAGAAATCATATTTGCTGTGGACATTTTTATTTCGAGGCTGTTTCTTGTTATTCTTTTCTTCTCTTTCTTGTTTTTCTCTTCTTTCGAAAGATCTTTTCTTTTTGTTCTCTCTCCGCATGGTTGACGCAAGGATTGGCGACGAATCCGCCTTTTCCTACTACTAAAGTGTTCTGGAAGTTGAGAACTCAGAGTGATACATCCTCTACGCTTCATCTCATATAATATTTTGATGTAAATGGCAGTCCTGATCAACACAAACCTGAAATGGCCTGGTCCAAAGTGTTCTGGAAGTCGAGTGCTCGAGGGATTTCATTCCCTATGGGGATGAGCAATTTCGTTATTTTTTCGATTTTCCCATCGGAAATGCGAGAAAAATCGATTGACAGTTTTTGATATAATATTCGAATATATTTATGTCATATTTCACCCAAATAATGGGGTCCTTGGAGCTACCAAGGATCATATCTAGCACCACATCAATCTGGGATCTTTTTTTGCCCCAAATGTCATATCGTGTATGTGGGTCTGGCCAGACTCGTGTGTTACGAATGTGACTCGCCGGACATGTGTACAACGGAGGGTTAATGTAATTAAAACATATACCTAATGCTTCAATACGGACATCACTTTCAATAAGAGATTCCACTAATGAATTAAAATGAACGTATGTTATGTGATTTAGTATTCCTAAACTTTTTAATTGGCAATTTGCTCGAAAATTGCTGGCGTTGCATTCAGTTGAGCTACTTCCAATACATTCAATTGAGGATTCAAACTAATAAATTGAACGAGTTGATTTTCTGTCAAGGTTGTTCATTCAACACTAGAATGGTTAGTTTCGAGTATGATCCTAAGTTGGAAGGACCGCAATGCATAAATATTAATTTTTGAATGGCTTCAAATGAAGATCGGGTATTAAAATCCAATTGATGACCAGAAATTTTAAAATTAATCAGTGAATTTCCACAATAGTCAGCGATCATATTCAAAAGTTCATTGTCTTGTTCGTGATCAGAACTGGTTGAATCGTACCAATAAATTGTCTGCACTGATGAACCGAAAATTGGGAGAAAACGTTTCATACGAAACTCTTCTAAATTATTCGATTTTTTATTACTCTCTTCAAAGTTTTTGATTGAAACTGTTTTGTAATCGGGTGGGTAAGCTGCTTTTGCGTTATTTTGAAATCGAATGCATACCTCTGCCACGTTTAGATAGTCTCGAATATTCGGTAATTTTCGAAAGATTGCTTGCATGCAATCATCATTAAGCGCATTAATAATATTTCCCGGAGAGTCTTGCGTGGGCACAATGTTCAATTCGTAAAACAAGCGATTCACTGGGGTATTTCTGTGCGATATTTCTTCGTCAAACCAATAACTTCCGGAATATTATCAGTGTCAAAGTCTACTTCGTCCATGTAAATCAATTGTAAGAAATCCTTGAATACGGCGGCTGAAGTATTTGGTAATTCCACATCAATGTTGACTTTTTCGTCCGACTTTCCATAAAACATGTCATCAAATACATTGCTTGCTTTCTATAAGATCATTTTATGGGCCAGAACACTCTCCTTTTCGTCGCCACACACAAAGTACAAAGTTGTATTCTAACACTTATGATCTTCAACATACAATCATATGATTGTCCGAGAATGAATGTGAGTCTTCTCGTGAGAGTTTATTGAAATGTAACACTGCCATACAAAAAATGCTGACAGTCATTTTGCGACAACACTTTCGGACATCTGTAAAAATTCAGCCATCTGATGGTAAAATTTAAAATAACGACCTTTACTGTTCCTTGTATTCGTAATTTTCATAGTAGTATTTTCATTAGCTCAGTTCGACTTGGCCAAATATCAGAACAACTGCAGTTGTCTTACCTGTTGGTAGTAATGGTATTGTAATAACAATAAGATCTTATTCCTATACTTTTAATATATTTGACAAGGCGAAAAGAAATATATACTAACACAACGAACTTCGTTTTTGTGTGCGCTACACTTAGCTTGGTGTGTTTTGTGTATAGATGTGAATTGCGACTCAATCACAGTAGACGGCGCAACAAACAATTTTTTTAACTTTTCTCCAAAAAACGTCAACTGAAAGGTCATTCTGGGTCAGTGAAGTATTGTACAAAAAAAAAATAAGAGAAAATTAATAGTGGAAAAAAGAAAGTACACTGTCCTTGCTGTGGCAAAGTAGTTTCTCAAACCAACACATTTCGTATGGCCACATTTAAATAAATATGACGAACGCTGAGATCACCCTCGGTGATAATTTTACAAAACTGTTTGACAAAGATTATGAAATGATCGTTTTTTTGCACACTCTGGAACTCATGCACACTATGGAATAGTATTTATAATTAAGAAAATAAGAAATTATTTGACAAAGGTGTGCCTTTTTTCGCCAACAAATTCGTTTTTTTATAATTAAATTAAATTATTTCAAATGAATAGTTTCATAGAAGCGTAATAATGTCTTGAAATAGACTTTTTATGGTAGTTTGAGATCCAATTGAAAAAAACCGAATTGAGATTTTTGTCACAAATTCAAATGATGACATTTTTGAGAGTCACAAATTGGTCACTAAAGTTATGTCGAAGAATTTTTATAATTTTGCCCCTTTTTATGAAAAGCCTTTTCAAATTTTCGATTAAAATCATTTTTGTTGATTTTTCAATATTTTGTTCATAATATGTCCACCAGATGTCGTATCGAAAATCTAAAGTCATATTTGTGAGTCACAAATTGGTTACTAAAATTCGGCATCATTAAATTTTCATTTTTTGCTTTCCTTTCAAAATTTCGCAAAGAGACTTTTTGGCCAAAAGAAGCCGAAGGTCTATTCCAAGGGCCAAAATAATGACGTCACAAATTGTCACAAATTACTCAATATATTTAGTACCTAGGCCAGTTTCAAGGCAATCGCAAAAATTTGTCAGGCTGGATAGGGGGGAGCCCAAAAGATTCCCAAAACATTTGCAAATCAACATCAATTCAGCGAATATTATTATCTTAACGGAACAGAGCACGAATTAATCGAATAAAATGCAGAAAGAAAGAGAAGATACGAGATATTTGAAAAACAACAACAATAACAATATGCATAACTTGTATGCAAGCATTCAGAAAGAGATACATCAATACAAAATATCGAACGATGCTTGCATCACAACTCTATTCTCAATTACACATATTTGCGCGTGCAACACGCGCGCAATGTTTTAATAATTGAATTTAATGACCTCAACTTTCGACATTGCCTTCACTGAAATTTTGTTGTTGCATCTTTTCTTTGCTCTGGCATGTCCAATATGTATTTTGAAATTATGACTATCTTTTCTCACGAATTTGGTTTTGCTTACCAAAAACCAGTATTTGAATGTGTAAGAATAAAAACTCAACTTCGCATTTCACCTCTTGCTCTCTCCTGAAGGATTTTCCATAAGTGTGAGCAGGAAGTGAGATATGAAGTTGAGTTTTTATTCTGAGACATCCATTTGTCGTCATATTATGTTATATATATATATTTCTTATCAATAACTGGAATTAATGAAATGTTAATGGGGTTCAAATAGCCAGACAAAAATGTTTTGGTAAAAAGGAAGCAGATAAAATATTCTTTTTAGTATTTCATTTGCTACCTCTGTCCGATAAAGACGGAGACATATATCAATTTTGTCAAAAATAGTTCTATAAATAACGGGAATCGATTTTTTGTCGTTCCCAAACAGTTTTATTCGGTGTGTTTTTAAGCAGAATGTTCCAAACTTCAGATCTTGAACGAGTGGAAAATGGTGCGATGCAGTTAAAAAAGAAACGCACTTTTGAAGGAATGTAAGGAGTTTTCTCAAAAATATTTATCTTGTTCAAAAGGTGCCGGTGAATCTAATATTCGACCCAAAACACTGGATGATACAGCACTAACGAAAAATGGATTTTATATGGATGAAGCCATTTCAAAAACTAGTAAGTGCCAAGTGAGGTAGATGAAAATTGAAGGGAAAATATATTTTAACAAAAATGAGAGTTGCAACTAATTTAAAACGTTTTTGTGTATTTTTTCAAATTAGAGTTCGGTGTCTTTAACTATGTTATAATTTTTCTTGGTGGATTAATATTGTTTGCACCATTGGTGGAAACAGTTGGCCTTTCTTTTATATTTTTGGTTTCTCAGTGTGATTTAAATTTGACTGCTGGTGAAAAAGGCATATTGGGTGCTGTGTCCTTCATTGGCATAATTT